TTTTTTACGATGTGTGTATATACAATAGCCTCAATCCATTGAGGAGAAATTACGATCAGTCAAAAAACGTTCGGGCCAATCAAATTGCCAGGGCGGGCTTTATACGATGGACAGACGATCTGCAGTTACGTAATCAAAGAGCGCTTGGGTTGAACTGGTTTCCCTCAAAGATGACTGCAGCTGGAGAATTGAGATGTATAGATTCCGCTATCGCGTCTATTTTAGAAGACGAACAGAAAACTGCAATAAAGGCATTTGTTGATTGGAAAGATGTGTTTGCCATCCTTCCTATAGGATTCTGCAAAAGTTTAATTTATCAGCTGGTTCCGATGGTCGCTAAGAAGCTGGGACGCAATGAAAACCCAGCTGTCATTGTGGTTTTTCCTTTGGTCGCACTCATGGAAGACCAAGTAAAAGAAGGAACCGAAATGGGCATCACAGCGATGCAACTCATGTCAAAGCCATCGCTGCATCAAACAATGGTGATGCTTTGTTACCACACTACTCGCACACCATACTACTGATAGTCACTGTACCCCTTACAAGCGGTGTATTTTTTAAATAAATTATTAGATGCTACTCATTATTTTCTGTTTAAATTATCATTAAAACATCATTTTGGCTCCCGGACTCTTTTCTATGAAGACTTAAATGAACACATTTTTTCAGCCGGTCTCTTTCGTCGTCTCTCCATTTATTAAAATCAGTCAAGTCGCGCTCAAGCCGTCTAAAGTTGAGAGAAGTCGAGAAATGCGAGCAGATTTGTTGGCTTTATTGTCGAGATCTAATCCTAAACAGAGAACTTGTTCGTATCTACATTCATTAACACTTTTTTTTCAGAGTGCGTGCAGTTCAGTTCTGTTGACAACTCGCTCAACATACGTCACTTACTGCGTTGCTCTGATTGGTTGTAGGTCTATCCAATTGAGTGCAGAGTTTTTTGGGGTTTTTTTCTGGTTCGATTAAGATACGCCTCATAATCGATGCCCTATGGAGCAGAATCAGACTCACATTCTGAATAGAATATTAGTATGACGAAGTCAGGCTATGTTTACAATGTATCATACATGCACTTTCTGTAAAGCTGCTTTAAAACAATATGCATGCTGAATTAATTGTGAAATTATTTGAATGAACATTAAATTATGCACTGTGTTTGTGCAAATTATGTTGCATTATATTTTAAACATTTTTGGAATACAATGTCTTGACTCCTTTGTCTTGCAAAGGCTAATTCTTAACATTTTTTATATTCCAAATATGGATATTAAATACTTTTTTGAAAAAATTTCACATAGTTTTTGAAAATAACAGTTGGTTAAGAAATTATGAAACACCCATTTTTTATGTTGTGCTTAACATAAATAACATAAATGTAATCTGACAAAGTCCTTTACTCTCTCCCCATAGGCCTTTGCATGTAATGAGTCATAGCAGAGATGTGCAGTTTCCAGCTATGAGAGGTGAAATCTCAGTCTGTCCAATGAGACAATAGTATGTGGGCTACAGATAGACAGATAGAGGACACGTGTGATGTCTTCAGCCAAAGTTCCCATATCTCACATGGCTGTACGGGTAACCCAGAGGTCACAGATTATACTGCTATCAGCAGGACCAGAAGGAATCTCTGACTTTTTGGCACATTTTCTGCACTGATTTTTTTTTTTGTTTTTTTGAGAAAAGCTGTTGAATTCAACAGAATGAATTTCAAATGGTTTTTAAATATTTCGGTTTTGATTATGATTCTATCTACTGATAAATGTGTAGTACTAATCATAATAAAATTCACCAAATTATATATAAAAAAAAAACAACAACCACAGAATCTGTTGAAATGTAAATAACTGAGTAAAAAAAAGTGTTACATTATCCCTGCTGTCCTCTATTTATTATTTAGACGTTTTTTCCATTCTGTTGAATCCCTTCACCACGACCACCACTTTTGTGTGGATTTTACAAAAAAAAAAAAAAAAAAACTGGTTGATAATCTGCCGTGTAAGACATTCTGTTTCCAGCCTATAAACATATGTTGCCACAAAGAAATGGCATATGAGGACATGGCATAGATTTTGAGTGACTCTGACAGACCAAATGAACAACAGACCCCATTTAGAAATAAAACACAAAACAAATACACACATAAATAAACACGGTAAAATAAACAGTAAAATGTGGTGTCTACACAGTGAGATGTATTATTAACTACAGAACATAGTTATATATATAGAATATTACATATAGTTATATACAGCTGCAGTATATATATATATATATATATATATATATATAAAAAACATTTGGAATATAGTTTGTTTGTTGTAAACATAAAAGATACAATCTGAAGATATTTGAAACATAGACAACTTGTTTATGCCAGTAAATGATAGAATAATCTAAAACCTAAATAACGCTCACTACCACAGATCAGGATTCTACAATCAGATTTGTCATCCTAGACTTTTGATGCACAAGTCAGTGATCATTTTATAAAGAAATGAAAACCACATGTGAACAATCTTCTTCAGTCCACATCCTTATAGGTATACCTGCCAAACTGGGTGGCCTGAAGCTCCTGATATAAGACCTGACCTGACTTCAGCCTCTGGGCTTAACGTTTGTTATAGGCTTCACTGCCAGGGGTCATAACCTCCCATGTCACGCTCTAATTATGATTGTCACATTCATGAGCCAATGATGGGCATGTAAATGATTTGTGAGCAATTTTTTTTTTTAATGCCATCTCATGTTTCTTATTATGTGTCCTAGTGAAAAGTAAGCCAATAAAAAAAAGCACATTTTACCATGTTTACCATTTTACCAAGCCCATTCACAGCAAGAAGATATAAAGATACTATACCGATAACTTTATTAGCATCCATCCACACCAGCGAACAATAGGTTCTGCGCGCACTGCAGTTTTGTCGTCTGCCGCTTTAAATGTTCGAGCCCTTTAAAGCAGGATGGATTCTGATTGGCTGTCAATGTTTTTATTGTTCATCAGCTGGAAAAAAAATTGCTCTAAAAGTGATTCCAACAATATATTTTCTCTGTACCGTTATTATAGTTATGCTGTGGACTCTGCTATTCTTTTACATTAAGAACAATTTTTAGAACTAAATCTCTATCATTATTAACGATCTTGGTGTGAGCAGGCCAGAAAAAAAAAAGCTTTTAAAAAACATATAGCTCTCTGCGTACATGAAAACCTTACAGCAACACATGTACCCACAGATTCATTCTTTAGTGTCATGCACACCATGTCAGAAAAAGAACTAGTCTCTTCCCCTCCTTTCATTCAAGGCCATCTATGATCCCATTGGGAGACTGTTTCATATTGGGCAGTTCAGCCTTTGGTTTTATAGTCAAAGCTCGTAAAACACGAGCAGAGGGGAACGGGGAGTGACTGTCTGCCACACTTACATCAAATATGCTGCGCTTGGCTGAAGAGGTTCAGCGCTCTGAGAAAACACTGAATGAAGTGGAATGAAGTGCAAGCCTATGTTGTTGCGCGTAAATCAGAGACGGAGATGGGTCGAGGCCACTTTTAATTCTCTGTGAAAGATTTATACAGCTAAACAGTCTACAGTCTTTGTTCAGCAGAGACTAGAGAGAAAAAAAATAAAAATAATGATATGTAAGTATACCTAGTGCTGCTTGTTAATGCAAGCCTCACTAACTAATGCTCAAACGTGAAATTAAGCAATCAGATTTAAAATGGACTATAAAATGAAAAAAATATTGGGCAGACAAAAAATATCATATATTTGTGGACTTGACGGTGTCTCTTTTGACTTGAGCCACCAACTACTCAGAATACACTAGCAACCGCATAGCAATTGCACTGCAACATCCTGGCAACTATCCACAATAACTCAGCATCATGGAGGCTTGTTATGATTATTAGTGTAGAGCGAAAAGCTTCCACTATGTAAATTTTAAACATGCATGTACCAATTTTTAACAAAGCTTTCAGGAAGTTCTGAAGTTCATAATCTCTGAATGTGTGGTTACTTATTTTTGCAGGCAACATTGAGTACTTCTATAGGAAATTAGGAATCCACACAATCAGGAATTTGGTGTGAGAGGGAAAGATGTTCCCATGGAGATTTTGCAATGGGTTCAAGACCAACAAAAGGTTTCTTGGTTTGAAAGTGAGTTACAACACTGTTGACAATAAACTCTAAAATTTTGCAGAAAATTCACTAATGTGACAACACCTCAAGTTTGTAAATGCAAAAAGGATATACATAGAAAAAAAACCTGTTAGCTGATTTATAAAAAGAGGATCATTGCAGATCTAGTTTCCTTTATTATATAATGGTGCAAAAACTTTTCCCCATTCTGCACGTCTACATTTTATGCCTACTTATTTTTAGTTTTTACATGTTTGATCATTGTATTGTTCTCTTCCATGAGCAGAAAGTCATGGAAAGGCATGAAGGCTATGAATCTGTGTTTGTGTAGTTTTGGCAAAGTCCCCCACACTCCCAATCATCCCTGTTCCAAGAATAAAACAGCACAAAGCAAAATGAGTTCAATTCATTTTTCACTTGTATCTGATTCAAAGAGCAGCTGTTCATAAATATGTCTGCATTCTCTTGGGTTTGGAGGAGGACAGGGCTTTTTTCTTTTCAATTTTGAAGCGCACTCATTGTTATGTTAGTTTTAGTTCCTCCTCAACTATAGGGGTTTGTGAATGTTTTTACTGCAAGAAAAAAATATGTATGTTTAATCTGTGTATCATTTTCCAAAATCCTCTGCAAGACTGCTAAATGCAGAAGCGTCTTTGAAGACTATATGACATGAGTAGCCAAAAGCATGTCTTACAAACACAAGCACCCTTGGCCCATTAATCAGTCAGATTAATCTCAGAGAAAACAAAGGAAGAGACTCCTTAACCCTTTCCAACAGAGGTTGTGTCAGAAAACAGACGTTGCAAGGTTATAGGACTCATCAGATCATATATCATCAATCCATGCATTCATCCATTTCATACTAACCTTTTCTTTTCAAGGGCCTCATTCTTTCTAGATTCCTCTTGCGCATCACAGGAGTTCCTGTCAATCATCTTAGAAACACTTGTTCCCCTTTAGGCTTGGATGCACTTAGGGATAGGGTCATCTCTGATTATCTTGCCTATAAACACAAGATGGTTAACACAGACTTAGATCAATAAATAAATGTCCTCAAGTGTGTATTCATCACTATATTTTTTTGCCATTAAAATGCACAATGTCTCAATTTTAAAGTGACTCAGATTAGGCAATGGCAGCCTTGTCTTGAACCAATGAAACAAATGAAACAAATTATCTTTATATAAATACGTATGTATTTGTGTTTAAAAGAGCTGCTTAGTAGATCATTCAATCCAAAACAAAGCATTACTCTCAACAACGAAATGTTAAAACCTTATCAGTGAGATCAGGGGCATTCTGGGTTGAAAGGTTAATACCTGCATGCTGCTCACCAATGACTAGCTGCGGCAAAATCTGTTGTCAAGGTAAATAGTGCTGTCTATTTGTTGTTCAGACAGGTGCATGTGAAATCCATATCCCCAAAACACCTGGGGGGCATAAGTGAAAGACATTAGAGAATAGGAATAGAGAAGAAAGTGAATGACCACAACGTAAAAACACTGAATCAAACATGCCTAAAGGTTAAGACTCAACCTTTGTTCACAAATAACTTCTCAGTAGGAAAGTAGTTGTGCATGATTCATTTAGGGTCAAAGAGAGCTCTGGGGGCAACATGAAAAATGTGATGTTGTAAAACACAGACTTACAGTTCTTGACAAGAGTGGGCTGCACTGCAGGTGTCTGCCAAGGGACATACTGTAAAGTGCCCGCACACACGGAATGTACGAGTCAAAGAGAGTTCACGAGTATATATGAAATCCCCTATGCTAAATATATATGATGTCTGAATGATATACAGGGTCAGAAAGTCTGAGACCAAATGCTGCTGTTTTACAACCAAATTAAACCTGGAAATAATATTTAATATTAATATGAATAATATTTAGACTACTGAAACACTTTGGTTGGGATATGGTCCAGAATAAATCCAGAAGAAACATGATAACCAATCTAGAATGATCAACGGCCTTTGTGTCTAAAGAGAAAAGTAGATTAAGGCTCTTGTGACCATATAAAAACGTATTGTGTGAGTTGTATTTTCATGTTTAGTAACTTCAGTATTGTGCTTGTGGTAAGTTATTCATTAATTGACATGTGCACACACAACATTCAGCCCCCCATACTGGGGGTCTGACCTAACTCCAGCTGTGAATCAATGTAGCAAGTGAGAGAGGTTCAATAATGCCTCATCATGGTGGTTTCAATGGTGTATTGATCTGTAATGCCACAGATGCTCTGCAGTGAGAGTTTGAGCCTCACGTCACCTCTTGTATGCCATGAAACTCACTGCCTTTGCAATATTCTTTTGAAATGAAATGAATGTGTAAAATCATCCAAACATGTTTAATAATGATTGAAGGATAGGTCACCCAAAAAAAAAATAAATAAATTAATTAATTAATTAAAATAAAATTCTGTCATCATCTACTCACCATCAGGTCATTCCCAACCTGTATGACTTTCTTTCTTATGAAGCTCCAAAAAGCAAAACAAGCACCATAAAACCCATCATAAACATTTGTTCATAACATCTGCATGCTCCAAGAAATTACTTAAAAAGTCTTTAAAGTCTTGTCTGGCAGCCGTAGTCACGATTCACTTTGGACATTTTTCCTTAAATTATTCCTTTTGTAGAATAAAGAAAGTCATTCCATTTTACAAGACATGAGGGTGAGTAAATAAAGCCAGATTCGATTTTTTTTGGCCGAATTATCCCTTTTACTTTCCCAGGCTAGTCTCACCAATAAATTACACATTTTATTGTCTCTTATTGAGACAATAAAATTAAAATGTTGACCTAAAAACATAGCCAGACACATTCCTGTATACATTAAATAACTTTATATAGTGTAAATAATGCGGCTGTAAACGCAGATTTAATCCTTCGGCATCATAAATTACACTTCCACATTCACATAAAACTGCACATAATAGCTGACCCCTATTTGGGCATATGACATATTTGCATTGACTATACATCACAGCAGGGGGTTAAGTGCAGCTCTATGCCCTATTTTAGAGCTGACTAATCTAGCAAATGAGGTTAATTGCAGCCATTGTTTAATGATGCTCTGGTCCCGTTATTGTATTATTTGTGAAGCTGACTCTAATTTCGACAGGTCGATCCCACAGCGGGAAAATAACTTTTCCAACCCCAATTCCAAAAATCCACAAACCTTTTGGAACAACACACACAGTTAGTGGTGACACACAGGGTTCTGTTAAGGACAGGTTGACACCAAATCTCTTTGTGAACCAATGGTTCGTTAGTAACAGCTGCAGTGTTTTTATATGGGCCTGGGGGCTGTATTATCCATGAACCAAAGTGTAAACAAATAACCAGGGCTTGGGAGGGGTGCATGCCTGGATCTTCCCTGGGGACGTGCCTACATATGGAGGACAGAAGAACAATACTTGCATGTATGCAATAAAAGTGGATGTTTAGGCTGGTTTAATTCATTTTGATATATTCAGGGTATTTATTAAAGTCAGAGCAGGCACCAGATTAATCATTTATAGGTGTAAACTCTAAATTTAGGGTGATGAATGCCCCTTAAAATTGTCATTAATAATTTATTCATTTGAAAATAAAAATTTAACTGAATGCATGAATAAGAATACATTAATTGAATAACCGTGAAATTCTATATAATTCTTTAAAATGCATTATATAAAAAACTTTATAAATTGAATTGTATTATAAATTAATATTTAAAAATGTAACAATAAAACTATAGGCTACATTAATAAATAATGTTTAAGTGCAAATGTATTTAAAGAAGTTTAAAAATATATATTATAAGAAAATACATCAATATAACATTGAAAATCTAGCTTGACACCTCACCATTCACTTCAATTGGACATTAAATTTCTCCTGTGCAAGAAAGAAAATCTGAAAATTTCACAAGACACGAGGGTGAGTAAATGATGACAAAAAATCAGCTAGCCAATGTTTTTTTTTTTACTAAAACTAAGGCTTTGCACTTAAAATTATATATTACTGCGTTGTTTTTAACTACATTTTTTAGCTACTAGAAACATTATCCATTTTATCCATTTGCCAGATGCTTTTTTCTTTAAAGACATTCTAACTATTGATCTGAAGTAATTCACATTGCAACACCCTTCTAATTATTACATGAATTTAAAACTTTCATGTAATTACGAATTTCTTGACTTATTTAACTATAAACATGAACAAAACAACCAGGGCTGCATTTCCCAAGCATCATAAGCCAAAGTTGATCGTAGAGGCCATTGGTGGCAATTGTTCTACGATCATCTTAAGCTTACGATGCTTTTGGAAAACCCAGCCCAGGGCTGAGTTTCCAAAAGCATTGTGAGCTAAGTTGATCGTAGGGACCATTGGTGGCAATTTTTCTACGATCTACTTAGGCTTATGATGCTTTTGGGAAATGCAGCCCCTCCTACATGTGAAATGTGGTTAAAGTCTTAAATTCAATCATTTTAAATGGTTTAAGCTAAAGAGCTACACTAAAGGGTTAAAGATACAGACTTGTGATATGCCGTCCCCGTGGTCACACATTTGGTTACTTTGGCCATGATATGGCCACTGAGAGGCCAAAAAATGAGCCTAATAGATGATGTATGTTGGTCTGTCAGATGGAGAGGCGCCTTGTTGGCAATGTTCATCCATCATGATGCCCAGCCATCCATTTAGCCTCTGACACTACACCAACCAAACAGCCTAATCCAATTGCTCACGCTAAAGGGACAAGTTTAGGGTGATGGGGGAACGGTGGCTCTCTTTTGACTCTAAAAATATGATTGTGTTTTGTTTAGATTTGTAAAAATGTAGTCCATGAATGTGGAAATGATAAAGACTGAATAAAGGCAATGATCTTTTAAATAGAATGTGTGTCTGAAATTCATTATTTTAATATTTTTCTTGTGCTTAAAATCAAATCTCAAATCAATGTTTGGGTGTGTATAATGATTTGTCCACCTTCTTAATGATGAAGTCAGACCCCATTAGTCTACCGAACGCCTCAGACTCCTCAGCCACTGGGGTGTCGCCACTGTTTCCCTCTGGGACTGACGACCTCTGACTTTAGCAGAGTAAAGGTTGTCTCCGTGGGGAATCCTGCAGCTTTAGGGGGCATGTTCCTGCTGAGAGAAGAAAGAAGCATGTAAACACACAGTTGGAGATATCCAAAAAACACTCAAATGAGACAGTGAAAGTGTTCGTACCAGTCAAGAGCCAATCCTATCCAATCCACATCCAACTCACTGATGTATGTCTGTCTGAACTGTTTTGTTTTACGATTAATCTCTCATGATGTATTGCATGATTATATCTTACACATCAATATTACTTTCATAGCGGTGAACAAAATGAACAAATTGGTGCTCAAGAACCATTTCTAATTTTATTATCAATTCTGAAAACAGCTGTTATTTTTATATCTTTATGGAAACCGTGATACTTTGATGAAAAAAAAGTCATTTTTGTTCGTTTAAAAAGACAAATAAGACTTGTATGCACTGTTAAGTGTTAGTATGTAAAGCTGAGACAAGATGGCTGGTGGCAAACTTCACTCACAATAAAAAAAAAAAAAAAATTAAGATTTATTGATTTCATATTTGCCACTTCCTTTTCATCATCCAAGACATGCGTTTTTAGACCTCGAAGTGTTTTGTCGAAACCTTATTAATTTCAGAAATAAGTAACAAGTGATTAATGTTGTATTCCTTAGCTGTCAAGCTAAGTGCAGAAAAACACATACAGTGCTGTTATATATGGCAGCCATGATGAAGACTTTCCCATCAAACTGGTAGGAGCGGTCTAGAGGCCCGAGATCTGTTTATGCTTTGTTTAAAACCCTCTCTCACGTTTGTTCAGCTGGGTTGCTTTTCTTGGCATTAAACCATAAGGGCCCATTACCGCAAAATCCGAATCCCCCCTAAACCAGGTCCTCTCTTGGCTCCATTGACAGTCTGCACCTTGCCAAGAAAAGGAGGAGGAAATATACATACATGTGTATATATATGCACACATATACACAATGTAAAAAACATATAGGTCTAACTTTAGCATTAAGAAGTTTTATCCATGCATATTTGTTCTGCTCTGGCTCGAAACAACCTCTGATGCTGTTGAAACCCCCATAATGCATTGCAACATCAGGGGAGTCCATGAGCCCACGGCAAATTGTTTGTGGTTACTTATGAGATTATTATTCCCTGTGGAATGTGTATCTCTTTGTTTCAAGGGCATCTAGTTTGTGATTCATGGAATGGAAGGGGTGTGTTGGACATGACTGTAGTCATTAAGTCTAAGTAAACAATGACTCTGTAAGTACGTTGAAAATAAGGGCTCTTCTGTTCATATGATAAGAGGATGTTGATAGCATTCATCAGGAAAGGTAATGTGAAGCATGTTGACGACCGATCTTTGTGGGTTTTGGCTCTATTGTCGTGTTTTCTCTTTTATTCTTTGTCGCTCCCTTTGTTATTTTCCTTGTCATTGTGAAATACGGTATTTGTAACTGAAGGATCATGTGACACTGTAGACTGGAGTAATGGCTGCAGTCTGCAGTAAAACATATTAAAATATTTATTTTAAATTGTGAAATATATTTCACAATATCATTGTAATGGTGATTGATTCAAAAACAGCTCATGATATCCAGATTATTTCCAAATGTCACACGTCAGGTGTATTGGTGGCGCCATTTCAGATAAAGTGCCGGCATGAATTGAATCTGAAAGGCGCCAGAGGTCTCACCTATTCTCATGGCTGCTAGTCCATTTGGCGTGACCCAGACTGATTTTTTTTTTTCATAAGGGCATCATGACAGATGATTTGTGAGGACACATGCAGTCAGAGATTGTGGTATGAGAGAACGTGGTGTCCTGGATAGCAGAGGGTACGTGTCAAAATGTTTATCCATACCATGGAGAGAACATATGACAAAGCTACATACCACTCTATCCTCAAAGCTCCCAAACAGCGTATTATTAACTCCGCGCGTCATTTTGAAAGAACTGCTGCAAATCACCACATCACTTCGTGGAGCCTTGAATAAATCATCTAGTTCATCAATCCAAACCAGATGAGCTCTGAAGGGGCGGACGAGTCATTAAATCAGGACAATATGAAGTGACATTCTGCATTCTGTGTCAGGGCTGAATCAGACATAAAACATGCCCAGAGTAAGTCTGACACTTTAAGCTTGATCAGTGGCACCCAGAGCAGGTCAGGCACAGATCAACTCAGTACACAAAATGAGATCACAGTGAAATCCATTGTGAGTCACTGCATGTCACTTTAATTTGGCACATTGCTCCTTAGATTTTGAAAATAACTTAAGAATATATTTGATAATCAGCTTTTTGCTTTGGTTCATTAAGAAGTAAAATTAAACCAAATTAAACATTATAGGTTATATTCTTTTCTCCTTAATCATGTCTTAGAGCATCAAGTGAGAATGGATTGCCATAGCGCCCGCTCAAGAAAGAATTAAAGCAAGTAAGTAAATAAATACATTTCTCATTAAACAAAACTATCAACATCTGAACCCCTTAGGAGCTGATTTTTTTTCCAATGTGTAATTTGGTCATTTGTTAATTGTTTGTGTGTGTGTATGTGTGTTCAAATAGCAGGTAAGGAAGAAAAAAATGTCTTAAGGGCTTCGTTCCAGGTGCATCATGGTATTTTGTACAGCTTGTCATCCAGACTGAGGTTGCTATTGGATCGATATGAATCACAGAAGGAAGATTCAATCAAGTTCTAAAACAAGTTTCTTATGTCCATTGTAAATTCTCACTGTACTGAATGCACACTTTTTTTTTGTGTAAAAAAAAAAAAAAAAACTTAAGAAAATTAGTCACATTGAATTTCATGACACCAATTTGCTATGATTTTTAAAGCTATCTTTCCATTTCAGCAAATGATGTCACATCTGAAAATCAGACAGGAGCTTCTTTGCATTTCTTTTTGTTCTGTTTTTCTTCACAGAACACCAGTCGCCGAAATAAAGATTTCAGAAGTGTATCTATAATGATTTTACAGTGTGCGCCTATCCTCCCGAATAGTTTGAGAGTAGAGCAGCGCTGAAGGAGCAGAGATTATATTCTACACACGTTCAGCTGTTTTAGCTGGCACAGGTCTGTGTTTACATAGTTGAGGGAATGGTGAGAGATGCCGTGCTCCGTTGTGGAAATCCACTGTGCTTGTGGAAACTGAAAAGCCGTCTACCTCAGCCCTGAGGTGACAAGCCACTTCCAAACTGGTTAACAAAGTTTAAAAGCCAAAGCGTGTGCCTTTGGCATTTTCTCTGTAAAGTAACTGTCACTGTGGTTTGATTCCACTTAATCTGTGTGATCAGACCGTTAAAGATGACCAAGTGCCTTGTCTGGAGAATATGACGGATATCAGCAAGACATATGTCATAGATATTCATAGAGTTAAGTTGAGAATCTACTGTTTGTAAGTTGGCACCAGGAAACCATCTGTCAGGCCAAATATGGCGATGAAAACGTATACTGGATTGGAGAAAGTGGGGAGGAGAAGGTCCTCTGTGATTAATTAGAAATCCTGATGGTAAGGACAGGTGCAGTCTGGAGAGAAAGAGAGAGAACGACTGGTGAACAGCCCTTTGGGAACAAAACACTCTAACACACACAACATTCTATCTGAGCACTTAGGAAGGGCACCTCGCTTTAAGCACCAACACTTTTAGATGCACATAGACACTCGTTTATCATAATGCCATCATGTTTTGCCCTGCTATTCTCAGCTAAATGTAAATGATCACACTGTGGAAGAATATATGTCTAATCATGTCTGTTACTATCTGTCTGTCTGTCTATCTAGCTAGCTTTGTGTTGTGCCAACATTCAAAATGTGTTAAGACAAGGAATATTTGGACATTTTGGAATATATGAATACGTTTGTCAACCCAGCACATTAAAGCAGTTATTTGAAGGAAAATGTAATTATTCTGTAATCATTAACGAATGGGTGCTCATTTGTTTGTGTGTAACTCGTGAGGAAGAAGAGCAGAGGATGATATTTAGAACAATGGCCCTTAACACTGACTGTCTCTAGCCTGCAGTGTTGGGGGTAATGAATTACAACTTAAAATTAATGTGAGTTATGTAATTAGATTACTTTTTACATTACCTTTTACTTTTGCATTTGCACTTTTGGTGTGATGTAAGGCTTAAACTTTGAATTGAATCATAATGCAAAACCAACGTAATGCATTACTTGTCATAGAAAGTAACTGTAATGCAATATTGTAACTACACTTCAGGAAAAAATGACTCTCTTGGGCATGCACTTGAGTTCTTACAGGTTTGTTCAGTGTCAGTTCTTGCTTGCGTGTGTGGCAGGGAGAAAATCAGAGAGGGAGATGACACAGAAAGACAGATAAGGATAAGTGCACGTCTGAACAGATTAATGAACGCAGATAAAGATCAACTTAGAACTGTGTACACGAGTTTGGAATGGAAGATGGAGAATAAACTGAAAAGTGAAAATGGATGGAGAAATCTAGGAAAGAGGGCCAGGCAGAAAATGAGAACAAAGAGAAAAGGAGAGAGGTTGTGTAAATGATTTGGCCTGAATGTATTAAAGCTGCAGTCTTTACAAAAAGGTAGCCTAATAAGCAAGTACATCATGAATACATTTTCCAAACTGTATTTTGGTCTTATCCTGAATAACTATAGGCCTAGTACACTAATAATAAGTGTTTATAGCCAGACTCTTTTAGATTGGTTCGGATCATACCACTGCAGAATAGCTCAGTACCTGCATGTCTCACAGATAAGACCAGATTTTCTTCTCTACAATTTACAATAACTGTTTTCTATTTGGATATATTTTAAAATATAACATACTTTTTTTCTAACATACTTTTTTTTTGGTGCTCAAGAAACATTTTTTTATTAATCATTGTTGAAAACTGTTTTAGCTGCTCAATATTTTTGAGGAAATCTACTATTTAAAATTTCAGGCCACATATATTCTTTTTTTAAAGAAATGAAAATGCAGTTTTAAATTCAGAAAATGTTGTTATAACATAATAATGACAAGGATTTCAGATATTGCCATCTTCGGATATCAGAGATAGTGCTTTATCCAACAAACTCACAAA